TACCCCTCGCCGTGGTGGTGGTGGTGGTGGTGCTGGGTGGTGGTGGGTGGTGGTGGTAGCCGTGTTTTCTCACCGGCTGCTGTGAGTGTCGGGGAAGGCGAGTCACCTACCTCCTTTCCTACATATTTTCTTGCCCGGCTTTCTTGCGCATTCCTTGGATATTCGTTTGACTGAAAAAGTGAATAGAAACTAGAAAATAAGATTTGCTCCCAGGGCCAGGCCGGGAAGACGAAGAAGACCGAGACGAATAAAAAAAGGAGCATGCAGCACGTCGCTGTAAGGGGGGGCGGGGGGGCTGGGGGTGGTGGGGTCCCACAGTGAACCCCCCCCTGTCTCGAGTCACCGGATGAACTTATCCATCGCTACCTCCCCTGCTTCGCTCATCAGCGCCGGAAAAGTGGCGGCGTTCCGTGGCGTGGGGAGGGGGTGGGGAAACTCGGGCGGTGGCGCTATGGACTATAGCGGGTCCCGTGAGTTAACGTCCTCACTACATCTCTCGTCTCTCTCTCTCGCTTGCGTTACGGCCGCGCTGTGTACTACTGCACGCTGGGGGGTGGAGGAAGAGGTGGATGGGGGGGTGGGGCACGCGCGTCTCGTCTCAGTTTATCGCCGGCGTAGAATATGCACGCTCACTTAAATCCCGCTGGTCCCGGACAGATCTTTGGGGCACCCGGGATTCTTTTTACCGGATCGGATTTGTGATTTCATTTCGATCGTTACCCTTTTGTTCCCCGCGCGACTCTCGGGGCGAGCAGCGAGTGGCGTCGTTAAGGCCTCGAGCTTTGCTCGTGTTGCCTCTCTGTGCCACACCGGCACCGTGCGTGGCTTGGCGGACATCAGCAAAAGTTCTGAGAGCACCGGAGCTCGCAGGGCAGCATGGAAGAGCGCGCACACACGCACACACACACACGCACGCACACACACACGCACACACATGGAGCGCCGTTGGCATCTCTCTCTCTTTTCAGACAACGCTGAGATTTGACACCTAACGCCTAGCGCTCCTAAACACGCTGTTGTGTTTACCATAGATTGGTGGTAATGTGAACCTGTTTGCGGTCCCATTGAATGGAATTGTCAGCGCTATTTTATGCTTGTGTATTGCAGCAATATGTTCAGCAGCTCGATGCCAATGTGCAGGTCTGCTGCTGCTACTGATGTTGGCCACTACGAGAGGGCTTCAGCAGAGAGAGAGAGAGAGTTCGTGTCGTGGCGCTGTTGAAGGAGCACAAACCACAGTGGGTTCACTGTGCACGCCCCGCCATTACTACTGTGGCTTGAATTCGATTTAAAGCTTTCGTGACTGCATGGATTCATCTTCTTGGTTCTTTCGGTAAAGTCACGTAGAAGGGAACTAATAAAATAATAAAAATAAAACATAATAAAATTCTTTTGTTGTTTTATTTTTATTACCTACTGTGGCTTGTGTCTCGAATTTGACAATTGTGAAGGAGATGTACGATGTTTTTGGAACTCAAGAACCCTTTGAACCTCATCATGTCCGCTTTTATTGTGTTTAACTTTGTACTCTAGAAACGGGTTGTCGGTAAGACGTGTCACTCCTGTGTTCGTCTGTTTGACCCAGGTCACAATAACCTCTTTCCTGGTCTTCAAGGAACTGAAATTATATCTCTAATAAGAATTAGTGGCGTGATTGTGACCATTTTGAGTATCACCATCATGATATTGCCTGAGAAATGACAATTCATTCTTACTGGTATGTTATCAATTTGCAAAGAGCGGTATGTTTTTCGAATTCTATATTTCTATTACGAATGGACGTGAAAATAGACTCACAATGTGACCACACGTCCTCACGTACCGATTTACATTTGCAACGACCCCAAACACAATTGCAGTATCAACGCCCAAGCCCTCCCAGTTGTATTCGTGTCTAGGCGGCATCGACGCCTCGCGTAATGTATGCACGTATGTAGAACTTCTTTCGCACCGTACGTAGCCAACATAGGTGATGAACCCGACTATAGCCCAACAACTGCGCAGCGAAACGTCCACGACTCTGAACGACGCGTCATGTACAGCGTGGCCACGACGTCCCTTGGCATGACACCATTTATTCACGATCTCTTTTCGTTTTGAATGCTTTTTTCAAAGTGGGATTCTGAACGTGGCAGCCCCGGGGGAGTTTACGACGGAGGAGAGAGACGAGGGGCGGGCGGGCGTCTGCCTCCACGGCCGTGGCAGAGTCTTCAGACGAGCTGTGTGCACCGACGAACCACATTTTCCGCAGCGCATCGGTAAACCTCCTCCTCCTCCCCCACGTGAATCGTGACGGGCGTGACAAAACGCCGTCGTCCAAGAGGAGGGAGCGTGCTCGCCGCAAAGCATTCTGGACTCATGACCCAGCATGCATCACGTGCGGAGCGGATTGGCCTCGTGGAAGCGGCATTGGGTTCGGTTCCACTCAGCCACAAAAATCGAGCGGTGGGAGGGAGGGGGGCGGAGTGCATTGTTTCATTTTTCATGCAAAGGGTCTTTGAGGCCACTCTGTGGTTGTGTTCACGAGGCTATCGGGTAAATGCGCGACGCTGGGTTGTGCCACGCCAGACCCACAATGTGACGCTTCGGGCTAAATGTGTTTATTTGAAGCAGAGCTCACTGAAATTGCCAAGAGAGAGAGAGCCGTATGGTTTTGATAGGGTCGTCATTGCAGACATTTCTCTGATACGAAGAAGGATCATTGCCCGAAACGTCATCTAATTTGTTTCTGTTCTTTTGTAACGCAGCAGTGTTGACGAACGTGTCGAGTTGATGTTATTGTTGTCGTCTGTGCTTGTGCGGCGTCACAAGAATAAGGGGCTTCACAGTTTATTTAAAGTCAATTGTTTAACTATATATCCCACCACCACCCGACATTTGGCAAATTATGCCAAACGTTGACAATTGTAATAAAATTGTCAAGAATTGTCTCGCCTTTCAACGGAATCGGCTTTGTGAACGCACAAAATCAATGAGCACATCTGCCCACGCGTTGGGTGCTGGAGGGTTATCAGTTCACGACTGACATGATACCCACACGGTGACCTAACTCAAAAGAACCCAGTGATGAATCATGACATTGGTCGTAAAAAATATCAACAATAAACAAGAGGTTTAATATAACTGCCGTACAATAACAACAATAATCTATAGCTGAGCAAGGAGAGGACAATGTGACACCCCCTTTGCCCAATTGAGAGATGGCCACCGTCTAAGATGAGGAGCCGGCGAGAGTCAAACGCCGTCCTTAGCCCCAGCGGCCCCCCCCTCACCCCGCCATGCTCGGGCAGCACGCACACCGACTGACCACTCCCCACGCCATGCGTATCGACAATCACTGCTGCCCCCCCCCATCTCCTCCCTGCCCTGCGCCCTTCTAGATTTTTGATGACTACTTGGGAGTCACCCCTTTGACCTTTCTCGCCCAAATCCCATGGAGAATGGAGAGCGAGAGACCTGCAAAACGCCACAGTCCCCCTTTAAAATAAACAGCGGGCGAGTGGGGAGGTGATGTGGGGGGGGGGCTGTCTTGAATGTCACCGAAGGCGCTTGAGTGGCAGGAGGTCTTGCCAATTAGACGCGGTGGCCGTTCTGATTCTGAGCGGCGTTGGGCGGGGGGAAGTGGGGGGTCGTGGAGGGGGGGGGGGGCTTCCTTGTGCCAATTATCGGGGAGAGGTGATCAATAATGGCGCCCACTGTGAAGGCAGCGCGGACCGCAGAGTGTGTGGATGACGCAACGTTGTAGTGTGTGTGGGTGTGTGTGTGTGTGGGTGACAACGTTGTAGTGTGTGTGTGTGACAACGTTGTAGTGTGTGTGGGTGACAACGTGGTAGTGTGTGTGTGTGACAACGTTGTAGTGTGTGTGTGTGACAACGTTGTAGTGTGTGTGTGTGACAACGTGGTAGTGTGTGTGCGTGACAACGTTGTAGTGTGTGTGGGTGTGTGTGGGTGACAACGTGGTAGTGTGTGTGTGTGACAACGTTGTAGTGTGTGTGTGTGTGACAACGTTGTAGTGTGTGTGTGACAACGTTGTAGTGTGTGTGGGTGTGTGTGGGTGACAACGTGGTAGTGTGTGTGTGTGTGTGACAACGTTGTAGTGTGTGTGTGTGACAACGTTGTAGTGTGTGTGGGTGACAAAGTGGTAGTGTGTGTGTGTGACAACTTTGTAGTGTGTGTGTGTGACAACGTTGTAGTGTGTGTGTGTGACAACGTGGTAGTGTGTGTGCGTGACAACGTTGTAGTGTGTGTGGGTGTGTGTGGGTGACAACGTGGTAGTGTGTGTGTGTGACAACGTTGTAGTGTGTGTGTGACAACGTTGTAGTGTGTGTGTGACAACGTTGTAGTGTGTGTGGGTGTGTGTGGGTGACAACGTTGTAGTGTGTATGAGTAACAACGTTGTAGTGTGTGTGTGTGACAACGTTGTAGTGTGTGTGTGTAACAACGTTGTAGTGTGTGTGTGTAACAACGTTGTAGTGTGTGTGGGTGACAACGTGGTAGTGTGTGTGTGTGACAACGTTGTAGTGTGTATGAGTAACAACGTTGTAGTGTGTGTGTGTGTAACAACGTTGTAGTGTGTGTGTGTAACAACGTTATAGTGTGTGTGTGCGTGACAACGTTGTAGTGTGTGTGTGACAACGTTGTAGTGTGTGTGTGTGACAACGTTGTAGTGTGTGTGTGGATGACAACGTTGTAGTGTGTGTGGGTGACAACGTTGTAGTGTGTGTGGGTGACAACGTTGTAGTGTGTGTGGGTGACAACGTTGTAGTGTGTGTGGGTGACAACGTTGTAGTGTGTGTGGGTGACAACGTTGTAGTGTGTGTGGGTGACGACGTTGTAGTGTGTGTGTGACGACGTTGTAGTGAGTGTGTGTGACAACGTTGTAGTGTGTGTGACAACGTTGTAGTGTGTGTGGGTGACAACGTTGTAGTGTGTGTTATGAGAGATCTATGTCACTAGAGATCTATGTTAGGGGAGATCTATGTTATGAGCAGTCCGGCTCTGTTGTTCTGCTCTCGACGGCCGCGCCGTTACTTAGAGAGCAGACGGATTTTGAAAACGAAACCGGGCCGCAGTTTATCAACCCGTGTCAAACTCGGGCCACAGCCCTGCTGACGAGATTGCAAAACATGGAAACCGATTTTTTTTCATCGTTTTCCTACTTTACAAAAAAACGATTCTGTCGGAAATTAATGCGCCGAGAGCCCGTAGGCTGGTAGGGAGGGAGAGATTGGTGGTGGGAAAATGTTAATTCATTTAAATCCTGCGGGTGATCGAAAACTCTTGTTTGATTCTCTTTGTACATTATTATTTCTGCTGCTGCTGCTGGTGGTAGTGGGTTGTAGAGGCTGCTGTTGTCGCTTAGGGGCTCGTTGTGTGCACCGCGGCCGCACACACAGCCAGGGCTGAGAATTGACTCTCAAACACCCAACGGAGTGGCGCTCGCGATCAGCTGGAGGGGACGACGGGACACTGCCCCCGGGAGTGGTGGCGGCGCGTTTGCCGCACGCTGCACAAAGGTGTCGCGGCTTAACCCCCAGGAGGCCGCCCTGGTTAATGCTGCGCTGGGGGCAGGTGGAAGGGGGGGCTGCATTGACCAACCGCAAGGACACGCCGTCCGCTTTCACGGCAGCAGGTCACAGAGTCCCCGTGACGTTTCTCGGGGAAAAAACAACAATCTCGAGTAGGAAATTGTGTGTGGGTGTGTGTGTGTGTGCAGGCGGCACGGCTCGAATTGATGGATTTTTCGTTTTTACGACTCGCGAATTGACCCGAGCAAAGCCTGACTCAGCTGCATGTTGAAACCGGTCCAGAGGTTTTGCTTGTCTTGAATCAATGCTGCTCACATGATCCGCTCACACAAATGAGGCCGTGCGGCCTGATGTGTTGAGTTAGACATACTTGTTTTTATTTAGTATTGCATTGTGTTACGCGGCGACACGGCCGTGTGAAGGCGGCGGCTCCTCCGCGCCGTTCGCTGGGGGTAAAGCCAAATGGTGACATCGCCCCCTGCTGAGGCTGCACCACGCGACTCGTTGGCTGGAGCCTGGCGCCATTCACCGCGGGCGATTGCGACATGTGCCGGTGCCCTGGTGCTGTCCACCGCTACTGGCGTGGGGAGCGTCCACTAGGGCCCGGGTGGCCTGCTCCCAAACACAACGACTCCCCGTATAGAGCTTGAGTCGACTTTTTGGGGGCAAGTGCTGTTGGCGAGCGCCTATGAAGGCCGACACGGCGCGCATAGGGGGTGGGTGGCCAGCATCGCGGCGGGCCGCCTTTGTCTCCCCAGCGGCGATGTTTACACCGCACCAGGTACTCATTTGAGGCTGAGTCGACCTAGGAGAGGCCCAGGACCGGGTCAGGTATTCGTCACCGGCGTTGGCCGGGGGCGGAAAACAAACTCGGGTGGTCGGGTTCGTAGCGCAGCGCGCTAACGACCACGCGACCTGCCCCCGTGCACACAGACCCGCACCCTGCATGTACAAGTCAATGCTTTATAATTATCGTTGTTACCTGTTCACTAGCCACAGGGTGCCAACGTATCGATCGAATATGATTTTAAGAATCCCTTGTAGACCGAATTATCGCCGCGATCACGTGGAGCTGTGCGACTGAAGGGTGGAATGTTGGCAGCTGCTACCACGGGGAGTGGATCGGCGGCACAGACCACGAACTCCTGCCATCCAAGTTGGATTCCCGGTCACGGCCAACATCGGTGGCAATCGATATCGGAACTGGTTCTGCCCCCCCCCCCTCCACGTTCACCAACCTGCACTGACCAGCGCGGTGAAGTATGGTGACCCCGCTCCCTCCGCTCAATGACCGACAAGGCTTCGGATAGCGGGGGGCGTCGTGCGCGCACCGGTGAGTTGAGACAGCACGATTATCATGGCCAGGGCTTGAGGAGGCGACCGCGTCTCGGCGGTGCACGTGAAGAGCTGTACAACAATGCCTCTTCAAAGCTTCACGCCCCCAACGTTATCGGACACTACCCCCACGGCTGGAATATTTTGGCGTTAAAACCAAAACCGCAAACCCACGCAAGCGGACTTGAGCTTCACACACTCGTATTTACTGAATGAATGACTGAATTATTAAATCCTTAACAAGAGAATTATTAAATTGTGGCTCGCTCCGACGTGCTGCGCCGGCTGTGTTATAAATCGACGTCGGATGTTCCCCAAGCCCGCGAGATGTATCAATTATTCACCGTTAAATTACTCCTTTCTCTCGCATCAATTATTCACCACCACCCCCACGTCTCCTCTTGATATGACAAAAAAAAATCCCATTTAAATTAAATGCGAAACTCAACGGCCTCGTTCTGAGTTTGCTAAATGGCAGCATCTCCGTTCCCGTGTGTGTGTCGGGGCCGTCAATAATTGCGAGTCCACGCAAATCTTGAATCTGCCGCCGAATCTTGTCGAGATTAAACTGCCTCCAATCAGCGCCAAAGACAAAGGTCCCCCGGAGACCTTCACATACTCTTGGGGCAAGTGCACCTACGTAGGCCGGCACGGCACACGAGATGGCCAGCACCACGCCCGACCGCCTTTGTCACACCGCACAAGGTACTCGTTTGAGGCTGAGTCAATCTAGGGGAGGCCCAGAACCGGTTCAGATAACCGTCACCGGTGTTGGCTGTGGGCGGGAATCGAACTCGGGTGGCCGGGTTGGCAGCGCAGTGCGCTAACCGCTGCGCCACCACTCCTCACCACCACCTCGTCGTCGCGTTGTGTGTCAGCCAGTAACGACGTCAGCTCAGTCGAGCACGATGTCGCTTCGTCTTTGTAACGTCATTGTAACGTCTTTGTAACGTCATTGTAACGTCGTTGTAACGTATTTGTAACGTCATTGTAATGTCTGTAACGTCATTGTAACGCCTTTGTGACGAGCGTTGCTTCTAAATCCGCGCCCTCGCATCGTGCGCGTGTAAGCACTGCCGAGTTACTTGCTGGGTGAAGTGATGTCTACCCACATCGCTGTGATGTGTAGCATTGCAGGCGTGTGTTGTGTCACGTCTCTGTTAGATGATGGTCATCTTGTTTTATTAATATTTCTTCCATTCTTGTCTACATGTATATGATTGTTATATATTAACGTCCCAGATCTTCTCAGCGACCTAGCCCTATATTCTCAACGGGCTTTCTCAGCTGGTTTCAAATACAGGGACACTTCACATATCTGCGTAGAGAGAGAGAGACCGTATTTCTGTCGCATTTAGCTCTTTCCCTGTCTCAATGTGCCTCGTCTATCTCATGCGTTGTCCATCTGTGGCAGGGCTAAGGCTAGAGAGACACGGGCGGCGCTCCATGGATGGCACGAGACACGCATGCAGGAGGAGTCTACCTCCACGCCGTGAACAGGGCAGCAGCGGTGCTGGCGATGCCGATGGCCATGGCAATGATAATAACGACGACGACGACGATGATTGTGGTGGTTGGTTGGTGGATGGGGCAGACAAATGGACAAGTGCGCCGTGGACACGTCTGGCATGATATTATGAAACAATTCATTAACACGAACAGAGACGAGTTGGGTGAATGTCCGTGCAGACAGGTTGATGGCCGAGTGGATGAGCGAGTGAGCGAGCGAGTGGGCCAGCGGCATGGAGGGATGATGAGCAGGGGAGTGAGTTGTCACACAGCTGTGGCCACCACCGCGCACCACGGCAACAACAACAACACCACGACGACAACAACAACAACTCACGCACTCTCGCGCCCACTCACCGTCCTCCGTGGGCACGTAGATGTTCATGTAGAGGCAGTCCTCGTTCTGCTCCTCCAGGTAGGGCATCACCACGTCCATGTTGGCCGTAAACCACACGGGCAGCATCACCTCCGGGTGGTCGCTGCGAATGATTTGCGGGCACACGGGAGCGAAGAGCGTCGCGTTGCGCACTCCCTGCCACGGCTTGGGCGGCTCGGGCGGCTGGAAGCGCCGCTCCGCCACGGGTGCCGCGGCGTAGGGCACCCCCAGGAACTGGTCCACGGGGCCCAGGATCTCGTTGTTGAGCACGATTCGCACCCCGCGCAGCTTCCCCGACGTCGTGCTGATGGTCGGGTACGACGTGGCACCCGCATCGGCCACGACCGCCCACGCCAGCAACAGCAGCAGCATGCCGCGAGGAGACGTGGAACGCCACGCTGCTGATGCTGATGTTGCTGCTGCTGATGATGTTGCTGCTGCTGCTGCTGATGATGAAGTTGTTGGAGCGGGAGTAACGCGGTTCGCAAGAGAGCGCAGCAGCAGCAAACCTCGCTCCATCGCTTCGGTAACTCCTCCTCCGCCGCCTCCACGCGAGCGACACATCTTGAGAGGAACAATAGCGAGGGGATGGGTGGCTCACTGACGACGGATGGCCGCCTTGGCTTGCTGGCTGGCTGGCGGGGAGAGTGAGCACGAATATCGAGCTTGTGTGTAATTACGTCCGATGTCGCTCTCCTCGCTCGCTCGCTCGAGGCTTCCACGTCGTCCCACAGTCGCGCTGTCTTCGCGCCGCGGCACCACAGAGACGGTCAATTCCCAATTCTCTCTCGATGCAAGTTGTTGTTGTTTTATTTACAATCCGTTGATGTCTACTCGCTCACGACGTCGCCTCGTACATCCTCCCAGAGCCGCCACCACATCGATCCTTCGCCTAAGGTGATGGGGAAGAGAGGGGGACGATGAGCGGGAAGAAGAGAGAAGGGAGAGATAGCGAGGGCGAGAGAGTGGTGGGGGGGGAGCAAACAGGAGAGAAGAAGACAGAGGAGAGAGAAGAGCGTGCAGGAGAAGAACAGAGGCAGAGCGCGAGAAGAGGGAGCGAGATAAGGAGGACAGAAGAGTGATGAAGGAGAGAGAGCGGTCGAGGAGACGAGCGAGAAGAGAACAGAAGAGAGAGAGAGACATGGGGGGGGGGGGGGGGTGTAAGCCAAGAGATTGACAGGGGAGAAATGACGGGAGCGAGAGGAGAGGGAGAGAGAGAGAGAGGGGACAGGAGAGGGCAGACGGGACGGGATGGGCATCAGTGAGATGGATGAGTCGCATGGGCGATGCAGCTGATCCGCGTCCCTGGCACGGAGCGGGTCTCCCGCCCGCGACGCCACTTCGAGCGGCTGAGCGGCAGCCTCACCCGCGGGATGGATGCTCAGGCACAAGCGAACACACACAAAGATAAAGCCCCCGTATAGCCTCCACGGGCTGTTGAGGCGAGTGCTGATAGCGAGCACCGATACAGACACACACATACAAAGACATGGGTCCCCCGTATAGCTTAAATAGGATGTTGGGGCAAGTGCTCCTAGCAAGCATTTCTGCACAAAGACACATACGGTCACACAAAGACACAAGTCCCCAGTATAACCCACATAGGCGGTTGGGGCAAGTGCTGTTAGCGAGCACCGACAAAGACGCGCATGCACACGATCACAAAGCGCACGCACCGCTATCGCCACCATCACTCGCATCGCTGGCGCTGATGCAGATGGTCCCCTGATGATGCCGTTGGCAAATCGAAGAGCGGGTTGCTTGCGAGCGGCGAGCGAGAGAAAGTGGAGCGATGCAATCCCCGTGCCTCCTGTGAGCGCGCCGCGCAGGCGGTGAGTGCGGGGAGAGAGAGCGCGAGGGGAGAGGAGGAGGAGGGGGGGTGAGGAGGAGGGGCTGGAGGATGAAAAGGCACGCAGCCTTTGCTGCCGGGAAGCTTCTCCGCCACACGAGGACGCTGTTGGAGGTGGCAGCGCCCCGCGCTCACGCAGCAGCCTGCCACGTGGAGTCGCGTCTCGCCCCGATTGTGAGACGCTCCGGGAAGTGAGACGCGCCACCTCCCCTTGTCCCCGGGGACAGGAAAGTGACACAAATCTGTAACCTTGACGGGATGTTGAGGTAAGGGCTGTTAGCGATCACCTATTGAGGCCGGTACTCAAAGCGGGTTGTGTGTGGCCAGAACGACGCCCGGCCGCCTTTGTCTCACCCCCAGTGCTGATGTGTACACACCGCACCAGATAGTCGTTTAAGGCTGAGTCGACCTAGGGGAGTCCCAGCACGGGTTATAATATCGCCGCTGTTATTTGGTCGTGAGCGTTAATCGAACTCGGGAACGCCGAGTTTGAAGGGAGTGCGTTAACCACTGCGCCACCGCTCCCACGCACGAAGCTGATCACACGCACAGCTTACCGATTTATAAGACGCAGCCTCGCCTTTTGATTTACAAGACGGGGTCGGTGTGGTGGAGGCAGGGCCGCGTTAGGATTGCGTAGGCCCCTGGGCTACACGTACTGTGAGACCCCCAGTGATATTTTCAAAAGGAAAACAAAGTTGAAGAAAAATAAAATTTTATTTTACAAGGCTAACAACAAATAAAATTCAGCATTCACAAATTAAATAACTTTTCACTTCATCTCTGGAGAAGCTCCAGCTGGTGGAGGCCCCTGGGCTGCAGCCCCTGAAGCTCCGTGCCTGAATCCGACCCTGGGTGGAGGTGGAGGTGCGTCTTATAATCCGGAATATACGACCCCGTTACGTCAATTCCACTGCTAGATGAGGCTTAATTGACCATACTTCACCGCGCTGGTCAGTGCGGGCTTGGTGAAAGTGTGGCGGTATAGAGTGCAGCGGGACAACATTGAGTTTCGCTGCGCTGCCCTCTGCTGCGCTCGGCGTAGCCTATAGCACCTGTGTTTGGTGCACGGCGGTCACCCATCCAAGGGGTTCCCCCCATAGCAAGCCCCTGGGGGTCTGCACCCCAAGGGCCCCCCCCCCGCCCCCATAGCGAGCCCCTGGGGGTCTGCACCCCAAGGGGGTCCCCCCTTGATTATCTTCTGAGATCGGACGATATCGGGCGAGACTCCGTGTGATCTGGTCTCGGGCAGAGTCTTCTCAAGACTCTTTCAGAAGGTTCCTGCCACATTTGCGATATTTGGCCGAATTCCGTAAATGTGCGATGTTGGCTTCGTGGTGATCATCGAGCCTTGAGTGGGCACAGCCAGAACGCGGCAGCGGCGGTGGCGGTGGTGGTGGCTGTGCGCGTGGCTGCCTGTGACCCAGCGCTGTGGAGGCAGCAGCAGCAGCGAGGGTTGGTGGGTCACACACGGATGATGTGAAACTCCTTTCCCGTGAGCACCAAAACGCCCTCAACCGCGACTCTCCGGAGCTCCCTCCAGTGGTCGGCCCCTTCCGCCAGCAGCGGCGTGAGCAGGATATTGCAGGGCCGCGCCTTTACCTTTACCATAGAAAACCAAATGAGGAATTATTGTGAAAAAATTAAGCTACTCTAAAATGACAGCACACCATCGATTACGTTTGTTTACATTTAAATGCGTTTAGAACGCAGCAGATGAACACAAGCAAGTGATGGTTTCATATGACGAAGCTATTTCTGAATTTTGCAGTCGTATGGGTCGGAGAGATTTCTCCACGCGTACAAATATTGCACCGCCGTCTTTGTTTCTTATCTGCGTCTTCTTCACGTCACCTGCGAGGCGACGGCACCAGGCGGTGGTGGTGGTGCAGCAGTGGCGGGCGAGCGGGCAGGTCAGGGAAGAGGGGACGCTGCCCATGGGGGGTCAGCGATCATCACGGAGCGCCAGGCCCGACCAACAGACCGGAAGGCGGCCTCGACGAGCCGCAAAGATCCAACCGAGGAGACGGAGCAACGAAGTCAGCTCGCGTTGTGCGGATTGTTAGCGCGCAAAACCGTGAGAGATTGAGACGGCTTAGGGAGGCCGTCACCCAGCAGTGGATAGATCATGGCTGCCGATGATAATCGTGATGATGATGATGACATATTTGTACTCGTTGTGATTTGGATAGAATGAATCTATTTTAGGAATTTATTTCATTAAAATATAAATGTATTGTTTTTTTCACATCATTACATTGGTTTTCCAAACTGTGTTTAACCTGAATGCCAATTAAAGTGAGTTGGAAATCTTATGAGCCTCAGTATACCGCACGTTATAAGAATGTCTCCACCACACATTAATTTATCTGGCAGAGCACGTGGTACAATATCTCACGATGTAGGTCATCCCTAGCCCCCCCCCCCTCACCGCCCCCTCCCCGCCCCTCACGGAAGAGGCCCCATTGTCAGCAGGTAGCGGCTCGGCACGATCGCGCTCCGATTTAATTGCCGCACCACAACCCCTTGGCGGGCAAGGCCACGCGAGGCCGTCAGCAGCCACGCAGTCGCGACCGCTCCTCAGTCGAGCGGCTGCAGATGTCATCGGGTCGACTCCCAAAACTGGGCCACAGGCTTGCAATGGTCTCGCCAGTCACATCCACTTCGCGTGCCATACGAGGGGACGGGGTGGGAGGGGTGGGGAGATATGGGGAGGGGAGGGATTGGGAGGGGAATGGGAGGGGAGGGGTGGGGGGGGGGAGGGGTGGGGAGGGGAGGGGAAACATGGGGAGGGGAGGGATTGGGAGGGGATGGGAGGGGAAGCGAGGGGGGAGGATGGGAGGGGAGGGGATGGGATGGGATGGGAGGGGAGGCGAGGGGAGGGGGGGGAAAGAGAGGGGATGGGAGGTGATGGGATGGAAGCGGAGGGGATGGGAGGGGAGGCGATGGGGGGGTGGGAGGGGATGAGAGGGAGGGGAGGGGACGGGAGGGGAGGGGAGGCCCCGTTGCTGAGACCCTCGCTCGCTCCGAGTCCCGTGTGGAGCGACGCGACCTTCGCCCGCCGGGCGAGGCGACGTCCACGGCCTGCGCGGAGCCGCCACTCTCACCCCGCGACTCCTCTCGTGGGCTCGCCGTGGCTCCAGCCGCACGCACGACGGGCGGAGATGGCTCCTCCAGGAGCCGTGCCTCCATCGATCCTCCCTCGATATTGTCCCGACAGATGCTACAAGGCGCCTGGCTCGTAGTGGGGATTTATCGGCGTAAGGTACTACCACGAGAGTACTATTAGATTACGCGTATCTGTACTAATCCCGTTTTATCGTACCCTATGTTCCTATAATGCCTCGTATGAACAGGTTTATATACAGGGTACGTCAAAAGAATATTAACACTTATATGGGACTATAATTTTTTTATGGAAAAAGAACGGATAATACACTGCAACGTGATGACAAATGTGATGTTAGTAGCTTCAACAAGTCAAAGAGTCTCTCCCACGTGTTCGCCACGTTGTCAACGCGCGCCTCGAATCTTCTCCAGGTGGTCTCCACCTGGAGAAGAGGCAGCGCATCTCTCGTGTTTTTGTTGCAAATTCTCAGAAGTGTGCACATTTTTTAGCACCCTTATATACAACAACAAATGAGGACAACATAAGGCGAAGTAATGATATCAATTTAACTTGTAATACTGTGCCACTGCAGAAGTGTTCGCTCGCTCGCGGAGAGAGAGAGAGGGGGGGGAGACGAGAGGAGCCACAGACGAAGAACGGGAAGGCAGCAACAGCGGCGATGCGGTGAGGAAGCGGCGCTACAAACAATTGCCCAAGTTCT